AAATGGTTTCAATTAGGTTTTCCATTTTGTCTAAGAGTTGTTATTTTTTGCTATTTTTCTGTATTTTGTTTATTGGTTGTGTTTTGTGGTTGTTTTTAACTATATGGATTGCCCAGCATCACAAATGTGAGATATAAATTGGAATATAAATTGAATGAATTAATGAATGAACAAGGAAATCTTCATGCCCCTAAAATAACACTAAAATAAAAAATAAATGTAAAATAAAAAGGGAGGTAATACATGAAAGCAATAGTTTATGGAAGCAATATATTATTTTAAATAAATCACATTTATATAAAAGTCTGCTTTAATCATAGAATTAAATCATATTTTGCCTAAATTTCTAGTCCCTTCTTTTCAATTAAAAATATCCCTGCCAGGTGACTTCCGGTGGCGACGGCCGCGCCGATGGCAGCTTCTTTCAGCTGTCTGCCTTGGGATGTGTCAAAGCCAGCTGAGACAGCGAGCAACAGCTGTCTTGCAGCTTGGAACCTCTCTCCCCGGGCGAAGGGGAGGAGGTGAGCTTTCCTCAGATAGTGGTAGAGCTCCTCGAGACCCCAAAGTTTTCTTTTTGGTGGTCAGTGGGTGAGAGCTCCCACGGAGTCTGAGGTATCTTCCACATTCCAGGATGCCTTTGCCCTGATTTATATCCAGGGCAAAGCTAGGTGCTGCTTCCACATCTGTGCTTAAAATGAATTTGTGAGTAAAATTTAAAGCAGACAGAGCTGACCAGGAGAGATTAAAATGGTGATTATTTCGAGACTTTAACTCTGAAAAAGAATTTATCTTTTCCTTTTTTTTCAATTAAGAGTAGTGAAAAATGGCGCTGAGATGTTGATTCTTTGAGTGAAAGGACTGGAACTTCTATTTGAAACAATGTAACAGATTTTGTATTTATATAAAATGCAAGAATCTTCTTTTTTCTTTTAAGGGGGCTTTTGTCTTTTTTCCTCCCCCTTCTTTTTTGGTATTTGTTGATTTTATAAGATTTTAGCACTTTTTTAGACTTTTTAACAAGTGTTCTTAAAAATAAAATGGCTTCAAAGCGTCTCGGAGCTTCTATTGTTTCTAAAGCCTCGATCTTCCCGGTAATGCAGACAGCTCAGCAAGCTAAGTTTAAGTTACCACCACCTTCTCCATTGTTACCAGCATCTATTCTTAAAGATTTACAGGATGCCTTGGGAAATAAGGCAAGACAGATTAAAGAAGAGATGGAGGAATTTCTTGAAAATAAAATTAGGGAACTGAGAGAGGATATTGCGTCTGCGCTTCAAAGGTTTGTTGGTCATATAGATTGTCTGGATGATCGTATTGATGATGTTGTGGAAAATTTTGAAAAACTGGAAGATCAAATTGATAAAGTAGAAAATAAGGCGGAAATAATACTGGATGAAATTACTATGTTACAATATAGAGACATGGAATTTGCTTTAAGAATAAGGAGAATGAAGGAAAACACGGAAGAAGATTTGAGACAAGTGGTGGTAAAAGATATAGCTTTCATTTTGGGGGCTGAGCCTGAAGAAATACTGAGAGAGACGGAAAAAGTTTTTAGGGTTAATTCAAGGGTTGTGAGGCAGAGGAATTTGCCACGAGACGTAGTTATTTATTTTTCTAGGAGATCACTTTGTAATGAAATTTTACAGGCTTTTTATAAGCAGAGATTTCAAATTGCAACTCAAGATGTTATAATTTTAAAAGAAATACCTTCAAAAATTCTTAGAAAAAGAAAGGATTTTGCTTTTTTGGCTGATGAGCTCAAAAAATGACAGGTCCAGTTCAGTTGGGAGATACCGGCTGGAATAGCAGTGAATTATGTGGGGATATATCATAGACTTAACACAATTTCAAAGGCGAAAGATTTTTACACTTCTGTTTTGAAGGCGGGCTCTCCATCATCTTTATGACCTGAGATTACAGAAGAAAAGTCGGAAGGGCAGCTGGTTGAAGGTGTTATGCTATTGGATGTAGGAGACATACAGGCTGAACCTCTGCAGCAGTCTCTTGTGACAGAAGATTTTTTAAAGAAACCGAGAATGACTTGTGCAGCCTATAGACGTAAAGTAAAAGAACAGCAGAAGGCGGATGTTGGAATAAAGAAAAAGAAATGATGAACTATTGTAGTAGTTTTTCTGAGATAGAAGATGTTTTAAAGGAATGGTGAATGATTTGTGTAATATGTAGATGTAAAGAAAAAGAACAATAAATAGTATGTTTTAAATGAATAGTGAATGATTTGTGTAGTATGTAGATGTATAGAAAAAGAATAATAGAAGGTGATGATTTAGTGGAAAAATTTAAATATTTGGGAGTATATATATTATAAAAATTTTAATTTAAAGTGTATAAAATAATTATGAGACATTATGGGTAAATGTGTTAAAGAATTTAAATTTTAATGATCTTTGTCGGTGAGAATTTTAGTGATTAAGATGAATGGTTTGTTGAAACTTCTTAAGCAGGAGGGTATTAATAGATTTACTTAGGGGTGGGAAAAAGAGCAAATAGCCAAGTTTATCGAATGTAAGTTTGTTGGTTGGGTTATATTGGAAGGAAAATTTTGTGTTTATTATGGATGAATGGTTGTTTAAAAGAAATATACACCTCAGCGTGGAGAAGATGGATAAATTATATGTAGAGTAAATATGGGTTGATATGGGATTAAAAAGTATTATTTAGATTATGAATAATTTTTAGTTTTTAATTTGGAATTGCTTATATTGTTATTTTTGTTATTTTTCTTTTTTATATATATTTTATTTGCTTAAATTTGTTTTGTATTCGAGTTAAAGTACATTATTGATTTTGTTATTTGTATAGTTGGATAAGTTTATTTAGAATTTGTTTGTTTATTTGTAACCCTGTAACCAGCTCTGGGAAGTGAGGGGGGAGGGAGGGGGTTATTTTAGGGGGGAATATTGTTAAAAACTTGTATAAAACTTTTCAATAAACAAAAATATCCCTGCTAGACTTTTCCACAGCACCAAAGCACTGAGAATGCTGGCTTATTCTGTGGTTTCACTAAGTATCTTATTCAACTTAATATAACACAGAAATGTAATCATTATGAGTCAGATTCCAAATTGCCCTTCCACTAGTATACAGTTCATAGCAAGTAAAGTAGTCCCTTTCTTACTTAAGACAAATGGATACTTAGTTCCCAAATTCATGATGCCATCTGTACAATCTCTTACACAGATTAAGAAAATCAGCAACTTGCTAGAACAGATTTCTAGAACATTCACCCAAACCAGCTTCTTTTACCTTCTGTGGAATCTCACTCAAAGACATTCTGAATCAAAACACATGCTGATATGAGAAGTATTTTCACCCACAAATTTAGGATGTGTGCTTTAAAATTAATTGTTAAATCAACTAACTAGCCAGCCCACTCAACCAGTTAACTTTTTGGGAAGAGAATCTTAAAAGTAGTTTCAGATACATAGTTTACATAGAGAGACATGTCAAACACAAGGCCCGGGGGCCAGATGCGGCCCACAAAGTGGTTTCATGTGGGCCATGAAGCTATCCTGGAAACAGTGAGGGAATGGCCCCTTCTGCCTTGGCTTTGGCCCAGGCCGGACGGGAGCCAATGTACAATTTTGTGGTGGCTATTTATGCTGAAATGCATTCAGTCTTAGCTCCACAAGGCATCTGGAAACAACGAGGAACCAGCCCCTGCCTGTCGGCCCTGCCCCCAGGGTGCATGCTGGGGAGGTGTCACCCTTTGTGAGGAATTAAAAAATGCACCATTGCCTGGAAGTGGCCAACAAATGGCCCTCGCCTACTTCACCTATCTGGCTTGATGGGCTCCAGGGGAGGGATTTTGGCAGGCAGCGGGACACTCTCCTCACAGCGCCAAGAGGCTGAGCCGGGCGGCATGAATCCAAAAAGAAGCACGAGGCCGCCCAGCTCCCAATCTGCCCAGTTTCAGCAGGCAGCCTGGCTCAACCTCTTGGCGCCCTGCCTGCCGAAACTGGGCAGGCTGGGGGCTGGGCGGCCTCGTGCTTGTTTTTGGATTCATGCCGCCCAGCTGTGAGGAGAGTGCCCCGCTGCTTGTCAAGACTGGGCAGGCTGGGGGCTGGGCAGCATTGCGCAGGTAATGTTGATTCTCACGCTGTTCACGGCATCCCCTCTCCCAGAGCCCACCAAGCCAGATATGTGAAGTAGGTGAGGGCCATGTGCTGGCTACTTCCAGGTGACAGTGCATTTCTTCATTCCTCATGAAGGATGACACCTCCCCAGCTGCGTTTCTTGCCTATTTTTCTCCCTCCCTCATCTCAAATATTTTCCCACCACTCTGTATTTAGGAAGGAAGAAAGGAAGGAAAGAAGGAGAGCGAGGGTCTGAGGGAACTCCTGCCTTAGTCCTGCCCTGCTGCCCTTTCACCATCCCCTTGCCCGCTCCTCCTGGCCTATCTTGGGGGTCTCCCATCCTATTGCTAAGGAAGCTTTGGATACAAAGCCGGGTCTATTCCCATGGAGAGGGAATAGGCCTCCCTCTGACTTTGCCCTCATACCCATCATGAGCAACCTGGCTAAGGAGAGCAAGCACAGCAGCAGCAGCCTTGAGGACAAGATAAGTGCAGCTGGGCGCCCCTTTGGGGAAGTGGGGCTGGGCTTGGTGCCACGGGTACTCGAGGGCCAGGCTGGGCATTTGACCTGAGAGGAGTAGTGAGGCTCCTCCAGTGGACCATGACTTGGTGCTTGCCCTGGTCCCACCCCCTTCTTCGAGAGACCCTCAGATCTGTCCCACTCCTGCCCAGGCCCCCAACAGGCACCCTTGACACGAACAATGTAGAGATGGCCATGCCTACCCAGTAGGCCACACCCACTCCATCCATGCCTACCCAGTAGACCACACCCACCCTGGCCACACCCACCTGCCCCCCCAAGGGCAACTGCAATGCTGATGTGGCCCTCAATGAAATTGAGTTTGACACCCCTGGCATAGAGACAATATACATTCCATTTCTACAATGGTCAGAAGGAGCGCACCTTTTGTGCCCTGCGCTTATCGGCTCGTTGGTTCTGATGATAGATGCGACTGAAGTTGGAGACAATGACTGGAACTGGAAGAGCAATGACTAAGACCCCGCTGAGAGAACAAATGGAACCAAATATCTTCCCAGCTATTGTCTTCGGCACCATGTCACCATACCTGGGGTAAAAAACAAAAATCTGCTTAAACACATAAGCTATAATTTGCCCTTTAAGGACTCAACAGTCATGTATCATTCCACTATGTGAACAACTCTTTGTATTATTTTTGAGAGAGACCCTAGTATTGCTGGTCCACACATCAATTTATATGCATCCAGTGTGTCTTTAACGGTAAGGAAAGGGAGGCTATTGAAAAATATGGTGATGTCATTTCAGTTATTGAGATCTAGTTGAATTGTTGTATCCAAGGTGGCTTGGAGTTACACATGTGGTAGATCAGTCTTTCTTTTTTTTCAATCTTCTAGAACAGTGGTTCTCAACGTGTTATCTGCAGATCCTGGGGGACTGCAAGGTTGTCACAGGGGGTCCATAAAGGCTTGAAGAAGTGTTACGATTTAAATCTTAAGTCTTGGGAGTCATCAGCCATGGTCCATGGACACAAAAGTATTTAAAGGCGAGTCCATGGCGAAGAAAAGGTTGAAAACCACTGTTCTAGAACGGTGGTTCGGAGGACATTTGGAAGCTAGATAAAATTGGAGGGTCTTGTTAAAAATCTGTTCTCCTGCTCTGTAGAAGAAGAAATATTTTTATCCCTACAAAAAGTTACCTTTGAATGCAACTCTTTGAAAATAAATAAGGGCTTCCTATAAATAAAAGAAGGCTGGTGCAGATAAATGGGTAAGGGAAATGTGTTCTCTCTCATTTATAATCTCAAAAGATGGAACATATAGTTGTATTAATTGGAAGAAAATTCAAGGAAAACAAACCAAATTCCTTTTCCTTGTAAAAAGTAATGAAGTGATAGGATTGCTGCACACAGTATGATGCCATCAATTGGCTCTGTGACTTTAGAACAAAAATATCTACATAATGATAAATTAGAGTGTCATAAACTGCTGATAATTAAACAGAACATCTTCATTCAAAATAATAAGTGGATTGGGATAGGCCTATTCCATTTTCTATTTTAAAAAGTTTTTGTCTGGCTTTTTAAATTCATGAGATGCAATCTATAAAAATGTTTGAAGTGATCAAGGGGGTTCTTCCATCTATCATCATCATCATCGCTATCATCTTGCTTACAGCAGTGACTACCTCTTCAAAAATTGGAGATTCCCCTCAATGATTCCTAATATACCTTGGAAGCCTGGAAAAGAACTTCATTTTAAATCCTGGAGAAATGTTCAGTTAACATGAACATTACTGAACTATAGATAAACCAATAGTATGACTCAGTATAAAAAACATCAGTATAAAAATATCTTCATCTAATTCCATTTATTACCACTATGTATCACTTGTCTTCGGTACAAAATAAAAACAGGACTCAAACAAGCAGATGGGCTTGCAGTAGAGGCAGTAGATGCTCAAGGTTATCCCATGAACAGTTTGGCTGAATTTCAAGGCCACTTAATTAAAACTGGGACCCTTCAAAATACTGCATGTGAGGAATAAAATGTCATTTGAAGAATCATCAATTGCATTCTTCTTTCACCCTTCATTCCTGCTCTAGAAATACTTTGAAACACATTATTAGTACTATCCTTCTTTCCAAAAATCTATTGATGTCCTTGAAGTGTAGCAGCATGTTGCCTAATTGACTAAAATTTATTTCATGACAATAATAATTTGTGTCATTGCAATAACATTTCAAGATAATACAACATGTCAGTTCCATACTCTAATTAAGATAAATTTTGGTACAGATCCCAAAACAAAGGCAGTTATTCCAATCTAATAAAAGAAAAACCCATATGGAAATAGCCTCTCCATTAGTGTAGGAGGAAGGACACCTATTCCACTGCTGATATAATGGCCATTGAGGAAACTTTTGATGTGAATAGGTATGCCATAAATGAAGAATAAAACTTATGCTTTGCTTTAATTAGTACTAAACTAATGACATTTATGTTTTCTTGTTCAGTTCGAAGAATAACAACTACATTGTAAATACAGGTGTCAGACCCCAAACTAAGACAACACACGGAAATTATTCTAAGCTGAGTTCTTTATTATTTTATACTAATGGACAAAATCTTGCCAGACTGAGGACTCTGTTATCTCCATCTACAATATACTTTGAACTATTAGGGAGGAGTCATCCTCACCCTCTTTCTTTCACACGTAATATCTGAGCTGAGTTGCCTCTTACTCTTCTGAAACATACCTCTCCCTACTAGGGATCCACATTACTACAGAACACTGAAAGTGTATATACAGAGAATTTTGTTTCTATTCAGGAGCAGCTCTTTTTATAGAAGTTAAACTTCATTTTCATTGAACACAAAAAGGAATATTCTTAGATATTCTTGTTTTTTTCCGAGGAGTGGTTATTTAAACAAGTCAAAGTGCAGCTGCAACTGCGTGATTGAAACCCACCTCTTTTTATGTGTGTGTCACATACTGGTCACATTTAAAAAATAAGTTTTTTTCTTTACTTTGAAAGTTAAATATGTCTGTCATGAATGCCCCAAACACACATTTAAATCTCTTTGCTGAATAAGTGTTAAGAATGAATTTGGAACGTCATAAAGCTAAAGCAAGGAATTAACATATTGCAATAATCAGGAATTCTACCAGAGGACATAATGTACCACTAGAAGATAATTGAAACAGGGAAACCAATATTTCATATTTCATACCACATGACACAAATATACTCCTACTTAACAAAAATATCCTCCATTCCAATTCAATTACATTTTCTCCATGAAAGTTACATGCGTGTCAAAAAAAAAGATGATTCAATAATTTTTCTTTTTTACCACATATAAAAAAGTGATTACAGAGATTGGAAAAATAAAGTAAATAGAAGGCCATTTAACCTGATAGTTACTCCTTTTGAAAAACAGGGTTATTTCTTATTAATGCATAAAAAGATGAAAAACTATAGGTAATTATAATCGAGTCCCTGATAAATAAATGAGAAGGTGGAAAAGATCAGATAGTGGAAGGAAATGAAAAGCAAGCAGAACTAGCAACTAATCTGAATTACTTCTCTAAAAATAAAGCACTTATTGTTTGGAGAAATCACAAAGATATCTCAGGATTTAGGAACTATAGCCAATTCTGATTTGTCTTGTGGTAATTTAAACAGCAAAATGAATTGGACTTTTGTTGTTGGCAAGAGAGGGGCAAAAAAGTCAAATGCTTGTCACAACTGTATGACTGAAATCATGTCCCTTTTTATATGTGCAAAAAAGTGGTGAGGCTTTAATTACACATTTGCAACTGCAATTTTGATAACATTGTGGCTGGTTCCAGATGCCTTTTTGTGTGCAATGCTCCAGTATCTTTTTTCTCACTTTATGTAAGCTTATCTTAATATGTGTGGCTTCTAATCAAATTCCCCAAGGGTATGATAGCCTTCCATAAAACTTTCAAAAAGTGTACTGTTTTGGCTCAACTTTATCTAAAGAAATGTTTGCAAGCTTTTGCCAGGAAGCATGATGGAGAATATATTTGACTATGCAGGTATTTGCTTATGAATGCACCATGGATAATTTTTGTGGACAGCAATTGCACTTTGCTCATAATAGTTCATTTCCATAGAACCAAAATTACATTACAATAGTAATGTAAAACAAGCATACATTGACAACAGGAAATAATTGCAAGAAGCTTTTGGTGGTCATCTATGCACATACAAAAAAAAAAATCTGCACTGATGTTGAAAATAAATTCATTTTAACAACCCTACCCTGCAGTGTTTTGCAGATATAACAGGGTAAGCTTCTCAAGAGAAAAAAACAGATGTGAATAGAAGCCTGCAAGCTTGTTACAGTCCCTGTATACATTTCACAAGAGATGATTCTGTGTCATGTATACTGAAATATATTCAACATCTCCTTTTATTCATGGAGATTTGGCCTGATAAATTAAGGCAGAACTTGCCAACCTGGGGGTGAGAAGAAAGAAAGTTAACACCGTATTTCAGAGTCTCAGATTAATACTTAGCCTTTCTAGACAAAAGGAAGTTCAGAAAAAATGAAGATCTATCTGATACTAATTTAGAAAGAATAGGTAACAAATGAAGGGAGGAATCTGACTTAGATTTTTGATACTTATTTTTCTATGCTGTCCTGTCCTTTTCTCTGTCTCTGTGTGTAAATACAGCAATTGGATGTCCTTCAGCTTTTTATGAATATTTCACATTGTACATGAGGAAAGTATTTCTCCTTAGAATTTTTTTGTAATTTGGAACAGCAATTTGAAATCCTTCCTCGATCTTTTTATAATGATTTTTATTTATTTTTAGCAGACCATCAAAATTTTATGGTTAGTCTGGAACACCATATTTTCTTTTGTAATTCTCATGCTAAAACTCCTATTTTCAGTTAAACAGCTCTGCAATATCCCCTTCAGTAGCTTGAATATATAAACATTTGCTATTGTTTATCTGTTGTATGATTATAGAACACAGAATAACAGAGTTGGAAAGAATCTTAGAGGACTTCTAATCAAATCTGCTGCTTGAGCTGGAGACCCTATCTCATTTCAGACAAAGGGCTGTTCAATCTGTTCTTGAATAGCTCACAAACTTCTGGAGGCAAGCTGGTTCAATGATTAGTATTCTTACTGATAAGAAATTTCTCCTTAATTCTCAGTTGGATTTCTCTTTGATAAGAAGGATTGACATCTTGCCAGATGTTCTGATGATGTTTAACAAAATACAGGTTATAGGAATCTTTAAAAAAGTTTTTTAATGATCTGCAAGGCAACACTGATTATCAAAGTCTTACTTTCCACAACCCTCAGGATTAAGGGGACATCAAGTGGGGTGCCCATAGGGCAGTCTTTCTCAACCTTGACAATTTTAAGGCATGTGGACTTCAACTCCCAGAATTCCACAGCCAGCAATGCTGGCTGTGGAATTCTGGGAGTTGAAGTCCACATGCCTTAAAATTGTCAAGGTTGAGAAACACTGCCATAGGGGATAGAGCTTAGGTTTAGTGATTAAGGCAGTGGGCTAGAAAACAAGAGACTGT